ATCTCTTCTGGAGAGGTAAGTAGTACTTGAAATAGAGAGAAGGGGTACTGCCAGTCAATATTCAGAGAAATTCTTTGTTTTCGAGCAGCCACAGATATATTCATCGCCCCCAGTATAAATAACTAAACTAATGATGCTACTATAAGCCTATGCTCTTCCTACAAACACGTACGCTTAGCTTCCAACAACATGGATCATGTCAGACTCACGTTGTGAACTTATTTCTGCAACCGTTAATTCAGAAACATCTTTCTACTATCTCAGAAATCGAGATAACTTGCAACTTTTAAACTGCAAGACCTTTCTTCCTCATACTTTAAAATTAATGGAACTTATAACCAGATGAAACCAGAAAATGTTCAACGCTATCAGGTTTAAAGAAACAAATAAGTCAAAAGTGTGAACAAATTAGAGGTTCTACTTTGGTGATAATCATACACGACGTTTTCATCAAGCCATGCATACTCGCCTCAGGCTTGTATATAGTTATCTAAATTGGGACAGGTTTACTTGCCATATACTGCCTCACTCAGTCATTGTGAAGGTGGATGATAGCTGTGGAAACCATATGAATGGATCATTGAAAATCAGCGATGACACCAGGTGTTCCCGGAAAACAACTTGGTCATTCCTCGATATTTTCACATCGTCAAAACTATAGGAAGTCACAGGGAGATCAGAATGCGAACGGGGACGGTGGGGTAGCCTAATGGTTAAAGCGTCCCCTGGTCACGCTGAAGACCCGGGTTCGATTCCCCACATGGGTACAATGTGTGAGGCCCATTTCTGGTGTCCCCCGTTGTGATATTGCTGGAATATAAACGGCGTAAAACTAAACTCATTCACTCAGAACGCGACCACCTGACATTGCACTATTTGATAGTGATTCATAAACACATACATATGTAACCAAAGCCCACAATGGATTTAATCTTAGATTTACATCGTGCCTATAGAAATGTTTTATCGCCTCTATTTATTCGTGATCATTATACGGCAATGTGGGAGAATCGCGGTAAATATATTCATAGCAACGTAAACATTGACAAAGACCGCTGACCTGAAAAGTACGGTGAGTAATCTTTTTTTTGTTGGAGCCAAAGATAATATTTTCAATATATACCCTCCCCAAAAAAAGAAACGCATCATGAAAATAGCAATTTCATGTGGCAATGAATTAAAACGTGATTCATTTTACAAAAGGTTTTGCTCTGTCTATGAGTCCTATGGTGTTTATGTTTTGAAACATCACAACAAAACGCACCATCCGTAAAATACCCGTATTTAACAGCATGATTTTCAATTTCGGCGTGTAGTGTCACAGAATGCACAATTCACATGCAATGCACGTGAAAGTTGGGGATCAGATAGTCTCAATGATGGGTATAAAAGGTTGATCGCTGTCTGTCGATTATTCACTGTATTTGGAATATTGTTGACGAATGCAAAATGCCACGTCTAAGTGAAGCCAACCGTCATATCGCCATTGGTTTGCTTGACTGACTGACTGAGTTTGGTTTTACGCCGCTTTTAGCAATATTCCAGCTATGACACCAGAAATGGGCTTCACACATTGTGCCTATGTGGGGATTCGAACCCGGGTCTTCGGATTGACGAGCCAACGCTTTAACCATTAGACTACCCCACCGCCCCTGGTTTGCTTGAAGCTGGCCAGTCTCAACGTGCAGTTGCCCGACGCATGAATGTTCACCAAAGCACCATTTCACGGCTCTGGGGGAGATATCTCAGGCAGAATTTGGTAGCAGATGCCCCCTCGTAGTGGGCGACCTTGAGGGACCACTGCGGCGCAGGATCGATACATCCGGGTACATCACCTGCGTCATCGAACAGCTACGGCGACCAGTACCGCTCGACAAATACCCAGATTGAGGAGGCTTTCAGCACAGACTGTCAGGAACAGGTTGAGAGAGGCTGGGTTACGTGCCAGAAGACCTTATTTTGGCCCTGTGCTTCGACAACAATATCGTCGACATCGAGTTCAATGGTGCACCAACGATCAGGCCTGTAACCTTACGAATTGGCGTTTAATCTGGTTCAGTGATGAATCACGATTTCTATTGGAATGACGCGATGGAAGAATGCGGGTGTACAGACGTCGACGTGAACGTTTCGCCGACGCTTGCGTTCCCCAGGTAGAAAGATTCGGTCGGGGAAGTTGTATGATGAGGGGGAGCGATCACCTGCCGTAGGAGAAGTGATTTGGTGATGATCCAGGGCAACCTGACAGCTCAACGGTACTGTGACGAAATCCTACGCCCACACCCCCTTCCAATCATTGATCGCCAGAGGGAGTTGTTTCAACAGGACAAAGCCAGGCCCCTCACAGCACGTCACACTAGATACTTCCTCCAGAACCAGAACATCAATGTGCTCCCCTGGCCCTCAAGATCATCGGACTTAAACCCGATCGAACATCTGTGGGATGCCCTTGACAGACGGGTGCAACGCCGTAACCCTCAGCCCCAGACACTTCAGCAACTCGCACAGGCACTACAGGCAGAGTGGGCTGCGATTGGGCAACACGAGATTCGGAGACTTATTCGTTCGATGCCGAGGCGATGCCGTGCAGTTCTGGATGCCCACGGTGGTCACACGAGGTATTGACTTCAGCGCCACCACACGTCTCCATGTGACACTAAACTGACTTTCCTCGAGTTGATGCCAAAGACGGATAAGTCTGCATTCCCAGTGTGCAATTTCGCTATGTTTCATTGACTCATAATGCCTACAAGATGTTTCAAAATAAACATAAAAATACAGTTGAAATTCCTATATGCGTTTCTTTTTGGGGAGAGTATATTAACAAAGAGACTTATTTACAATAAGTTCATAGCGCTATTCGCTCATTCCATATGCGTTTGTCCATAGTATAATTAATGTGCGCACACACAGCCAGCGTGTTTTGTCACCGATGGACTGCTGATATCTGTAGTTGCAGGCTTGTCTTTTGGACCCTATGTAATGGTGGCGCTGGACTAATTAAGGTGAGTGTGTCAAGAATAAGTCATCACGCGGGTATGTACTACGAACATAACTCAGCAGCTCTCTGAGCCTGCGTGCGTGCGTGTGAGTGTGCATACATCACAGAGTGACCAGAATCTCTCCACTGGACAAGACAAGAACGCTGATGGTGGATAACCAAATGGCATGCGAGTTCATAGCATGGTAGCTAGGCTGTGGGTTCTCACATTTGCCATCACGTGTTGATGTTACTGACTCTTACTGATGTCAGTAGTGGCATCTCTAACCTGTATCTGAATAATTCCGTCCTAACCCAGAGCCTGGCGTATTTGAACTGTTATTTTAGGATTTTCTCATGGATCTCCGCATTTATTACCAAAAACTGTTTAGTGAGAATATGTTAATTGACATTTCTAGGCTGAACGCCAGAGAATAACCAGGCTCGATTTTCTGCCGAAACAGATTCCACTGGAAATAAACTCTACGGCAGTGAAGTGGTGAAAATTAAATGAATTGATTACTAAAAAAATCGGTAATGACATCAGGTGTTCTCCAAGGTATACGTTACGATCAATCTCCACTATACCCTGGATGCATCCACGGCTTGGCCCGATGATTTTATTACCTCCCTTGGCTGGATTTTTATCCAATCAGGTGTCTACGCTGGGAATCATAACTTACTTTCGATTCTTAAATTATCTAACCGTTTAAACTTGGCAACACAATTGACGTAGAGATATATATTTTTTAAAGTTTCAGATCTTTCAGTTTGTCTGTATTATTTCCCCAATAATCTGAGTGGCACTGCGAAACAAACCTTCGCGACTGCGACCGCTGTCTTTGTTGACACTGGCAAGCTTGGTTGTAACGGCGGCTTAGCTGATTGGCTACTGTGAGAATGCGGAGCCAGCTAAGGGAGGAAATAAAATTATCGGGCCAAGCCGTGGATGCATCCAGGGTAAAGTGGAAATTGATCGTAACGTATACATTGGAACTTAAATTTAATCTAAATACGTAACTTATTTCTGAATAAATTATATTGTGCTTCGCTGAGGGCTGATAATTATTACTGTTGAGAGAAATGCATTGTTATTTTTAGAGAAGGTTTGCGTGATATAGTGCCATTGTAATGGCCAATTGTAATTACACATTGTTGGTATCTTAGGATTCAAGGTGGAGATGCCTTTGACAAAGTTACTGGACTGCAAAGGAAACCCCTACACTGTCCTGGACGTAGATGGGACGTACTTTCCTCCCAGTTTCAATTGCGAAACGATAAAGAACATTTCCAACGTCAACATCCGTGACGACGATGTGCTGCTGTGTGGCCACGCAAGATCAGGTATTAAGCATTAAGCGACATTTTGTACTCATTCTTACTGCATAAATCAAATGGTACAAAGTTTGAATAATCTTCAGAATCGTGTCATATTGATCAAATGTCGTCGTGGGTTTCGACAAGAGCACAAAAGTGAAGCAAGAGGGGCAGTAAGTGGGTTTAAAGCCCCCTTGATTTTTTCCAGTAATATCAAGGCCTGTAAGCTCTTGTGGGAAGAAAGCCCGAGGTAATGCTTGACTCGGGACTATGTATATCCATAGGAACCTGCAAGAGTTTACGATTATTAGTGAGCTATGCATTGTGGCACAAGAACAAATCCACCATCTAATAGAATTAGTTGTTAAAGATGATGTCGAAATCAAAGTATTCCATCACGGATATTGCAAATGCGTTTCATATCTGATCAGGAACACATCTAACATTTGAACTGGTCCATATGCTGCTGAGAAGAAAAGCGGAACTTAGTCCTCATGAAAAGGGGTCCCAGACGCTAGAATTGCAACCGGAAGAGGTTCTGAGTTGTCTCCCTTCACCAAGGATTCTCAACGCATATGTCCAGTTTCACTTTCTGCCAGCAGAAGTGCGGAAGAAGAAAACTAAGATGATCTATTTGATGCGAGACCCCAGGGACGTCCTAGTGTCAAAATTTGTTCTAACCACTCGTGCGAAAGGTACAATGATGGGATTTGATGAATATCTGATAGCTGCGGCTGAAGGAAAGGGTTTGTTTATTTGTTTGTTTGTTTATTTGTTTGTTTGTTTATTTGTTTGTTGGTTTTTTTAAGGCCACACTCAGTATTCCAACTTATGAAGGCGATCTGTGAATAATAACCTCTTCATTGACGTCACGAACATTAGTTTAGTTTTACGCCCCACTCAGCAATATTCCAGCTGTATGGCGGCGGTCTGTAAATAATTAAGTCTGGACCAGAAATCCAGTGATCAACATCATGAGCATCTATCTACGCATATGAGATACGATGACATGTGCCATCCAAGTGAGCGAGCCTGACCAACCAATCCCATTAGTCGCCTTTTTCAACAAGCATGGGTTGCTGAAGACGGATCTGAAGGCAAAATATAGTACCCTCATATCAGTTTCTTTCCATGACAGCTCTCACAAGAAATAAGGATATAGCGATTTGTTAAACAAATATAAGCATCAAAATAGATGCTAAAGTTGAAAGGCTTATTTGTTTTGATTTTGCTCAGTGTAACTATTCACCAACAGAGAAAGAAACAACAGTAAAAAGGAAATTCAAAGTACAAAATATTACACTGGTCATATCCTATTCTGTCATTGTGGAGCCTTACTAGGTCTTTCAAAGCCTTTCAAAATGTCCCACTAGACCACGGGACCAGCGAGTGGACAATAACTAGTGGTCATGTTTGTACTTCACTGGTCTGAAATAGACCACGGGACCAGCGAGTGGGCAATAACTAGTGGTCCTGTCTGTACTTCACTGGTCTGAAATAGACCACGGGACCAGCGAGTGGGCAATAACTAGTGGTCCTGTCTGTACTTCACTGGTCTGAAATTATAACATTCGTAGATTTACTTTAAAACTTCACTTGCCACCAGGACCACTGCAAACTTATCATTTATTTGTCCTGATGAATTTTTACTAGCCAGGGACCACAGGACCAGCGCAAATTTCGCACACTGAGTTATACAGAAGGATATTTGTATCAGTCTTACTTAGATCCACGCATCAGTGCTCGCTTATGCTATAATTAGGGACCGTTCATAAGTTATGGCTAGGGGGGTTGATGATGATTTTTATGGAGAATCATGTACAATGTGAATGACCCCCCCAAAATAAGTGACCTTCCCATAATTTCTAGCATAATTTTAAACATATTTTTATGTACAAAATTGCTGAAAAAATTGCTGATTTTCAGTACATCTGTGGAAAGTCTCTTCCATTCGAAATGTTTATTCCGTTGAAGCGTGAGGTAGACGATGATTTCGGTTCGGAATTCCTCGTACTTTTCAAGTTTACATGATCAGAAAGCACATTCCGAATGTCTCTTTCCCGATTTTTGTCGGATGAAAAGTCGTTGAGAAGTGAGCCATTAAGGCATATCCCCAGATTTTAATCCCCAGGAAACGAGCAATACTAGATTTTCAGATGACATAGAATCTAGCAGACGACAAGGAAACAAATTTAGGGTTATCTCCCCTAAAAGATCGGTTATTTCCGTACATCATACGTGACTCAATTATTCGAGATAAAGAATTACTAACATGAATTACCAAATGAATTCCCAAAGTTCGGCACTCCCAGCGGGTTACATATAACATGTTACTGGCTTGTAAATTACTGGGGCACATTGAAAATAATAGAAAAGCGCTCAGTCAATCAGAAAACGACATTTATGAGTGAGATAAGATAAATATCATTTATATCCCTAACAAAAGTTGAATACTATGTGAATATACTTTTTACAATGTGTTGTAGTTGCCTGGGGCTCCTGGTTTGACGATGTTCTCTCTTGGGAGAAACTAATGAATGAGTCTGACCAACCAGTGTTGATAGTCAGATACGAGGAGACTAAACAGGTACGATGATGATGATGATGATGATGATGTGTGATGGTGCTACTGTTACAGCAGGACTTGCTTTCCTATTTCGGGAATGCCTGCTGTCAACACTGATTTTCAGCAATCAATTCATATAACTGTCACCGCTATTTGCATTCCACAATTTATAGAATCTGTTCCTGTCTGGAAATATAAGAAAGCAAGTAAACCATTTCTCTTCAGTATTGATTTCTGTTGTTATTAATTTACATTTGTCAGATTATCGTCAATTATCTGCGAGTGTTTGATTTATTTCAGGATCCTGTCCGTGTGATCAAAAACATTTCCGAATTTCTAAATATAGACTGTCCGGAACAGCTTGTCCGAGACATAGCTGTACAATCCGATTTCACGAACATGAAGACGGCAAGGGGAGATAATGCAAAGAAAAGTGATGGTGACGCCATCCACTACAGAAAAGGTATGGTAAATTCCGTGTTGTATCATAGGTCTTAGATGGCAGCCTCATATACGTATGGCTTACTGACCATCTGTAACACTCTGGGTGGTCACAGTACACAGGTCTGATTGGACAGTCATCCTATACTTGTATCGTAGGCACTTTGATGGGGTATGGGTTTTATCGGGAAATATAGACACGTTTGTATATTCTCTGAGTTAAGTTAAAGTTGTGTTATCTAAATCTAAATCACAGTGCTGACAATATACATGAAATATCAGCAGCTTATTATCATGACCATCCGCACAGCCATGTACAGATCAGCTGCCTGCGTGTAATTAACCCTAATGAACCTTAGAGTATATGGCCGGCTGGCCACGGAAGCTTAACATTGTGGATGAGGTGCATGCTGGATACTGCAGGTTGACCATAGATGTATCGTAATACGATACAGGGCAGCCTGACAGTCAGTAGTATATAGACAATGAATTCTTAATGTAACGGGACTTGACCCTCGGACAGCGGCTAGGCAGGTGGGCTGACGATCGCCTCTATGATGCTGCCTGGCCGTTGCTGCACTATCATGTAATTCCATACTTAGCTTCCGAATAAAGTGTTGTGGACCCACTGATGGATTTCTGTGTTTGAAGAGACAGATATCCCGAAGCGCTTTAACCAGACCGGGATACTTGTTTAATCAAAATTCGTCTATCATTATATCACCCGAGAAGATCCGGGGTTAGAATTAGGTCTTCTTTAGGTTAGGCGACTAACGGGATCGGGTGATCAGACTCGCTGACTTTGTTGACACGTCATCGTATCGCAGTTGCGTGAAAGATGCCCCATGCTGTCGATCACTGGATTGTCTGCTCCAGACTAGATTATTTACAGACCGCCGCCATACAGCTGGAATATGATTGAGTGCGGCTCACCCATTGTGATTAATTCGCCCGTAACAGTCACTATGGCCATGACTGATATAAGTCATTTTTATTTAATCAAATGTAATTTAATTTACTTATTAATACTGTTTTCTCTGAATTGAAACTTTTTAGATTGAAGATAAAAAATAAATAGTGAAAATCGATGATTATCATTGCTGTTGATAGCTCAAATATTCAACAGTATTCAAAAGCTATCTTTACAGGAATCACTGGTGACTGGAAGAATTAGTTCACCGGTGCCCAGACGAAATACTTCAATGACATTTACACACAGAAAATGAAGTATTCCAAGTTTTATGAGTGGTTACTCGTAGACTGTATTGTGGTGGTTGCTACGTCGGTGTTGCGAAGACGCCTTTACAACACGCCAGCACATCCTTGACATAGAAGTGCTGAGTAGCTTATATTCTGTGCTTTATTAAGTACGTTTAACACCGACTTCAACACTATCGCGAACAATCCAGAAGTGACCTATACATGAGTATCTCGTGTGGAATATTAGAACCGGACTGTCAGAAGGGGCACTTTCACCACAAAGCTAAGTATACATTGACTTCCGAGATAATTAAGCTACGTTATTCAAAAAAGTTCAAATTGTGACCTGACATTACAACGCCATAAAAACATGTTGGCGGTGGATATCTGCCATTCGTCATTACATATTGTAACGTTCGTAGTATATATTTACAATGAAGAAGAGAAACACTTCACCAAATATCTATTAATTAACACACTTTGATTCGGATAATGCATTTGTTCTCATTAACAAATAACACATACAACGAGATTTCTTGTAATTTTATTGATATAGAAGCGTCACAATCAAGAATTAATTTATATATTTTTAGAAGCTGATATTTATGAAGATATATACTTTTCAAGATCGATTAGGATTTCGTGAAAGCTTATCGAAGAAATTTGGCTTGAAGTCGAGTCGTGGAGTGCATCCTGTCGTATGGAGATCGCCCTAGCAGTCGACGTTGTGAGAGCGTAATCGCAGGTTTGGATGTCGTTGTTCCATTTCATGTCGGCTGGACACTCCTGCTGGTACGCGACCACCGTCCACACAGATCACGAAGCTGGAGCAGTCACGGGGGTGGCGCTGAAACATCCCAGGAGGGGCCTCACAGCTGGTGACGGGAGGATGGGCGGTGGAGTAGCGGTGAAGCTGCAGCTGTTGATGCTGGCGTCGAATATGGTACCAGGCGCGCATGGCCTGCGGACGGCGACTCCGTTATCGCAGAATTGGTAATAACGAGTACTATCAGTAACGTGAGGGTGGAACTGACCACTCCAGGGGACAGCGATCTGGAAATATTGTGTGATTTTATAGAATAATAATTACAAAGCGAACATTTCCAGAAGAAAAATCAGTCACAATATATACATTATTAAATCATAATATTATCATTTTAAAAAATTGAGAATACGTTTACGTGTAGATATGTAAATCAGGAGATTTTGGACCAGGATTTATCACTGAAAATTGGTGTCTTAGATATATATGGACCACGATTTATCAATGCAATAAAAGAGGTTGACTAAGAGATATTTGGACGAGGGAGATATCACTGAGATATGCCGGACGTAGTTGCATATGGACCAGGACTTATCTCTGAGATATTTGGACGAGGAGACATCACTGAACATAGGCTGACGTGGGGACGCTCGGTCAAGGACTCTTCCCTGACTATCCGAGTATGTGGATGACGTTTTTACGCGATATTTATCAATACACCATGTTACGGCGATTTACACTGTGAACCTATATGGGAAGCTCAAGCCAAATTTTTCGCCCAGCTAACTGAATGAGTTAGTAATCTCTTGATATAAACGAATAACGGCAGTGACGTCACCACAAAATTGGTGAACCTTCAGCTCTATGTTACGCTTTGCTTCATTAGTCGAAAAAATGTCATTTTAAAACATATCAGTGAGAAATGAAATTCCGAAGTTGCAGATCTCTCAGACGCGTGGATTCGAATCCACAATCACACACATGTAAGTTTTGGGTGTTGCCAAGGGACGTCACTCTGCACAGCAAATTGTGGCGCCTTAGACAACTGACCACCTATGACACCCTAGATAAAAAACATAAAAATATGTCAATCGCTCACCGCCGCATGCGTCGGTGTTACAATCAACCGTTCCGTTCTCCCTGTCGTCACCGGTGCAGCCGGCGCCGCAAACTGAGGCACGGGGTTGGTGCAGGTCCTCTTCAGTGCTGGTTCATGGTCCCTCCTCCACACATGGCCGAACAGTCCCCGCCTTCCACGCCCCCAGTCCGACCACCCACCGTCAACTGGAATACGGCAAAAAGAATACGGCAGTAATTACACTGAGTGAGTGAATTAGGATTTTACTCCGCTTTTAGCAATATTTCACCAATATCACGGCAAAGGGACACCAAAAATGGGTTTCACTTTGTACCGCATGGGGAATCGAACCAGGTCTTCAGCGTGACGAGCGAGCGCTTTAACCACAAGGCAACCCAACCGCCCAGTAATGACACTAAGCCCGAGATAAACAAGCTCGGCCATCCATGTATCATGTTTTCTCCAGTCTCAAATTCAAATCATTTTGGTAATAAATTAAAGGCAGATGTAGATCAATTGGCTTCGAAAACAATTTTCAATAAAAGTAGATCAAAGAAATAACCTGACCTGATTTTTCTATGTTTTCTTGAGTGTTCAAGCGTAAGAGATTAAGTATTTCAGAGGCGGAGAAAATTATGTACTTTTTAATGTTGTGTATATAATTAAATATTTTATTCAAATTACCCATTTCGCGAACACCGCTGTCATCAGTGATTTTTAATGGTATATTTGATATGCTTTTCACAACCCTTTACCAAATGGAAACGGTTTCTGGGGATGGGGGTATTCATATTATCTCAAGCAACTTATTAATAAATATACGTATTTGAATGCCCGATACAGATGTTTGTATACACATGAACCTTCAACGTAAATTGAAAAACGATACATGCATTTAACTTCTAACACGAAATATAACTGTTTAGGAGCAATATCAATTTACATATGAAAATATCAATTTTCTACCTACTTTCCACATAACCGAACATTAACTTCAACAATGACCAATCCATCATATGACCTGTCAATATATTTTATTACAGTAATTACGCGACCAAGTTACAACAACCATGAAGAAAAGTAGGTGTACAGTAATATTTCCTTTCGGTATAAATACCCGAGTTGTCTGTGATGCTGTAATTCAAAGAAGTATAATACTTGTAAATTATATTCCGCTCAAACTTAATCTGTCTTGTCGTATGGCAGATTCCTATAGAAATATGAAAGGATGTGTTCTTTAACTGATTAACCCCACCACGGTTACATTGCGAATTCTGATGTGTGAAATAATAATAAAAACTTCTCATCCAAATATAATATTTGTGGCAGTGGGAAAATGCAGTAATAATATAAAATGGGAGTTCAAAAGTAATGATCTTGAGAGTCTGGAATGTCAACTGCAGCTCATTATAATTTGACTATAGGGTAAAAATAGATGTAGAAATTACATGAATCCGCTACAGAATACCGTGGTAACACCATTTGTTCGTGAAACGGGTAAGGAGATCTGCCCGTCACCCAAACACTTATAAAAAAAAAATTTTAAAACCCTAAGATTGAAAATATCCTTCATGATGACATAAGTTCATTAAAACGGGGCGGTGGGGGTAGCCTAATGGTTAAGCGTTGGCTCGTCACGCCGAAGACCAGGTTCGAATCCCCAACATGGGTACAATGTGTAGAAACCCATTTCTGGTGTCCCCGCCGTGATGAATTGTGCTGGAATATTGCTAAAAGTGGCGTAAAACAAAACTCAGTCAGTCAGTACAAAAACGGGGCGGTGGTGTAGTCAAGTGGTTCACAAAACGCTTGTTTCGTCACGCCGATGGTCGGGTT